TGGGGGCAATATGCTGACTCTGTAAACCGCTTAGAGAGGGCTGAAAGCCGTATGAAGCGGTATATAAGTCTAACTGCTATTGCTATTGCTATTGTCTTCTCCCGCACCATAGTTTAAAGGCCTCAATTCTTTGGCTCTCAGCCTTTTTTATGGTCCAACTTTCATAGCCATACATTGCAACTGGAAATGTAGTGGTAGTGGCCTGTTCACTGCCATGCTCTTAATTTTCCAACTCACACCTCAATGGATATGGCAGGAATGGAATCTTGGTGAAGTTTTTGGCAGATGCATTTTCCAAGTAGCCATGGCTTGGATGAAGGTTTTAAAAACAAGTCAATTGCAGGATGTCCAAATACTTGAAAAGTTAAGAACAAAACACTCATTTTGTCTCAACTTCTGGAATGGCATGGCCACTGCTCCAAGCTCAGAAAATTTCTCATGTAGAATAGTTTGTACCATTCCTTGTGGTAGTTAGATTATACAGTGGGAAGGAAAGAGTGAAACAGTCATAAAACAACCCTATTGTTGTTGTTGTTTTGTCCTAGTTTGTCAGGGCAATGGTTGCAGTTGTGATAACATTTGCCGTTTGCTGGTTCCCTTATCATTTCTACTTCATCCTGGGAAGCACCTGGAAGGAAGTCAACAAACAGAAGTACATCCAACAAGTTTATCTGGCTGTGTTCTTGCTCGCCATGAGTTCTGCAATGTACAATCCAATTATTTATTGCTGTCTTAATCATAGGTGAGTATTGTGGGACTACAGCTTCAGTGGGTAAAAAGATCTATCACCCAAGAACAGGACAGTATAAAACGACATGCAGATAAATGTTCACTTCAAATTATTGTAATGTAATGTGGTGCCATCACTCGCACCAAATAACTTGTTTTCCTTAATATTATTATTTTGAACATAAAAAACATCAGCTTTACATTTTAGAATGTGGCAAATGCTCAAGGGTAAGTTGATATATAGGTTAGCTCACACATACTAAGCCACAGTTCAATAAACAAAAGGTGGTGAGTTAATTCCTATTATAAAAATTACTCACGAACAGAGGTGGTATTCAGCAGGTTCTGACCAGTTCTGGAAAACCGGTAGTGGAAATTTTGAGTAGTTCGGAGAACCAGTAAATACCATCTCTGACTGGTCCCGCCCCTGTCTATCCTCTCTCCTGTCCCAGCTGATCGGGAGGAAATGGGGATTTTGCAGTATCCTTCCCCTGCCATGCCCACCAAGGCATGCCATGCCTACCAAGCCATGCCCACAGTGGCTGGATTAACAGGGTGCTAAAACTTTTGTGTGTGGAGGTTACTGCTTGTCATAGGTGAACCCAAACACCATTGATATATCTAGAGCAGGAGTGTCAAACTCAATTTCATTGAGGGCCGCATCATGGTTGTGTTTGACCTCAGGTGACCATGGTGGGCATGGATGGGACAGGGTGGGCATGGTTCTCTGCCAGTGAAAACAGAGCTCAAGGGGCTGCGGGCAGGCCTCCCAAGCTCCATTTTCCCTTGCAGAGGGTTGCAGGAAGCCGTCACAGCCATTTTTGCTGGTAGAGGCTGGGTTGATCCTTCGCTGTTTCCAGGGTGGCCGATGGGCCAGAGCTATGCACCCCGCAGGCCAGATGCAGCCTTGAGTTTGACACCCCTGGTGTAGAATCTCTCATCCACAGAGGAAAGCATCAAAAAATCAAAATAGTGGCCCAAGCATGCGATCAATGGCCAATCCTACTTTATGAACATAATACAACACCTTAGAAGGACATGGGACTTAATTGCCAGGCCGGCCATCTTGATTTGTTCTGAGCCCACCTTTGTAGACACCCCTGTTGGGTGAGAGGTCAGGCCAGAGATAGGCAGATGAGTCAGCAGAGAGATAGTAAATCATAAAACTGTGTTGGAAAATACTGCAGAACACATTTAAAAAAATAGAAAGGTGCGATAGAAATTGGGGGGTGGGTGGGAATTGATGGTTTTACTCTCTCCTCTCTGGGTTAGATAACATGCATTTTATTAATATTTGTGTCCTTGGCAGGTTCCGATCTGGATTCAGGATCGCTTTTCAATGGTGCCCCTGCGTAAGAGCTACGGAAAGAGACCAGCTTAACCTTAGTTATCCTGACCCTTACGGAAGATCCAAGCATCCGACTTCTCTATGAGCTTAGCAGTGTACACATCTGATCACTTTGTCAGTGACTCATATGTATTGGGTGGCATGAGTTTTAATCCTAAAGGCTTGAGTAACAACTTCCTTGCAGGGGTGAAATCAACTTACCTTTGCTACGGTTCGCAAATGTGAGTGCGTGCGCATGCGCAGAGCATCAAAAATAGGACGTGATGATGTCCCGACGTGATGACATTCGGGCAGGTGGATATCACTACCAGTTCGCCCGGACCGGATAGAACTGGCTGAATTGCATCAATGCTTCATTGCCCTGGTTTTTGTTGTAGCATCACAAATACTGCACTAGATCACGGCTGGTTTGTACAGCTAGTTCTCAATTTAATACTATTCATTTAGGGACCATTCAAAGTTACAACAGCATGGAAAAAGTGATTTATGATTATTTTTCACACGGATGCCCATTGCAGCATCCCCATGGTCACATGATTAAAATTCGGACGTGCGGCAACTTGCAGGCATATTTATGATGGTTGCAGGATCCTGGGCTTATGTTATCACCTTTTGCAAACTTCTGACCAACAAAGTCAATGGGGAAACCAGATTCCTTTAACAACTGTGGCAAGAAAAGTCGCAAAACGGGGTAAAACTCACTGTTGCTTGGCAGTGGAAATTTGGGGCTCAATTGCAGTTGTAAATCAAGGACTACCTGTAATTTAGGGGCGGGTTTCTGCCAACATTACTGCCGGTTCAGTGCGTGTGCAATTTTGCTCCGTGCGTGTGCACAGTTGCCTGTAAATAGGTCTGCGCATGCGCAGAACATTTAAAAAGTTCAAAAAAAGATGTGGCGGCAACCGGGGAACAGGTTTGGGGGTGTGGCAAGCATGCTGTCCCCTACCGGTTCGGCAACCCAGTGGTCATTTTCACTATCAGTTACACCGAACCGGTGTGAACCGGTAGGAACTCACCTCTGCTGTAATTATTCTTTTGTAGTGGCACTTCAGTTTGTCTGTTTGTGGTCCTTTTGAAATCCCTTTTTCCATAAAAGATATTGATTGTTCTATTCCCCACAAACTAAGCAGTTAATACATTTTCCCCAATGTGCCTTGATAATCTGTTTTGCTAATTTCTTGCTATAAACCCATTAATAATTCCAGAGATATTATCAGTACCTTTAACAACCAGATTAATCAGCAACCTAAGTTATTTATTGCAGTTATTTATTCCACTATTTGTATACATTAAAGATAATTTAAGTACATTTAACTGGTTCAAATTTCACCAGTTGTTATAGAGAACAATTCAGGAATAGTGAGCCCTTAACTAAGAGACCAAAAGTTAAGCGTCCAGTCAGTGTAGTCCTAGACATTAAATAGATTAGTAAATCTACTGGTAATCTAAAGTGCATTTTGTCCCTAAAATATTTTTTTATTCCATTCACCATCCTGGAGCTGATGCTTAAAATACTTTGTTCCAGACAAATGTCCTCTTTAGGCAAACTGCACTTTTAGAAAAAGCCTACATATACACAAATATCTCTACATACACATTGCAATAATCAAAACTGTGTTTTATGGGGAGGGGAGAAATGTACTTATGGAAAACCAAAATTATTCATTACCTTTCCTCAAGAACATCAAACCAAATTGTAACAGAAGTTAGGAGGGGGAGGATAGATGGATAGATGAGACAGGGGAAAAGAGAGAGGGAGAGAGAGGAAGATAGAGGAAGGAAGAAAAGAGGGAGATGAGAGAAAGAGAGGGGGAGATGAGAGAGAGGGAGAGATACCTGTTTCCCATAGAAAATGTCAGCCTCTACTTTCCTTGCTTGCTATTGGCTGCCATAGAAATGGGGAGGGAGGGGGCTGGAGACATTTGGAAGGGGGAATTATTGGTGCTGGAAGAGTTATGAAGAGGGGAGTTTTGTTCTCACCATCTTCTGCGCATGCTGGTGGCCTGTGTTTGGACTTGGTCAAGACCAACCGTCTTGCATACCAACCTGATAAGGCTTTTTGAAGATGCACCCCACATGACACCTTAGAGATATTGCAGATTGGACATTGGTTTGGGGAATTGGGGGGAGGGTGCTGGGTAAACGTTTGATATGTACATGTTCGTGCCTTTTTGGCTCAGATCTTGCTTTCCTTTTCGCTGCTTTCAATTCATATCTAGTAAAAGTACTTTATGCAAATGGAATTGAGGTTTTTCTTTCTTGGATATTGAAGGAGGCATGCCTGACAGAAAACACCCGACACCATAAAACCTGGGTAGACCTGGCGGGGTGGTGTCATGTGACTGGGTGGGAGTGAGTGACATCGGTTTGGCCACACCCACCCAGGTATTGTGGCTCCGTTTTCTTTTCTGTGGGAAACGGGTCCAAACAGCTCTTTGAGTATTTAAGGTTGCATACCCCTGCTGTAGACATTAAATACATATAAATCCACTGGCAATCTAAAGTGCATTTTCTCCCTAAAATATTTTCTTTGATTCCATTCACCATCCCGGAGCTGATGCTAGAAATACTTGGTTCCAGACAACTGTCCTCTTTAGGGAAACTGCACTATTAGAAAAAGCCTATATATTACCTCTACATACATATTGCAATAACCAAAACTGTTGTTTTATTGGCTGTGGAGAATGTACTTATGGAAAATCAAAATTATTCATCACCTTTCCTCAAGAACATTGAACCAAATTGTAACAGAACATTTGGGGGGGGGGGGGTGGAAGTCCTGAAAACCAGGTTTTTGAGAATGTGGAATTAATAAAGATGATAAAGGTACCCTTCAACTCAGTTCAAAGTTATGATAGACCCACAAAAAGGTACTTATGACCTGGATCTGAAACTCTTAATGGTTGCCAAAAGACCACATCTTGGACAGTTGGCCACTTGAAGCATCCTGAAGTCCCATGACCATGGTTTACAATGTTTTTGGTGGAAACCAGCATTTATTTCTGTTTCTGCCAAAAGCACTCCATAGCAAGCAATGGGTTCACTTAATGACCACCACAAAAAAAGATCCTAAAATCATAGTCACATTAATGACCATAATTTACAACTACCATAATTGTGGGCTCAATTATGGTTATAAGTTGAGGACTTTCTGTATTAAACGCCTTGCACCCAACTACCTTGAACATCATGAGTTGTCCTAGGACCGTGATGGCGAATCTGTGGCACGCAGAGGCCTCTCTGTGGCCATGTGAGCCCACCCCAGCTCAGCTTTGCCACGCATGCATGCGCACCTCCCACCGGCCAGCTGGTTTTCGGGTCTCTGCCACACGTGTGGGGGCACATGTGGGAGATGTGTGTTCATGCATGGGGGGATCGCACACAGAGGGTTGAATGCACATGTGGGTTGCATGCAGGGGGGTTGCATGTGCACGGGGGGAAGGGGTCATGAGCACATTGCATTAATAGTGTACGGGTGCTTTCGACACTTAACCATCACTGTTCTAGGAAGATTAGTGGGATCAAATTGAAGCTATAATTTCCAACACAGCCTTCTATCTTTCACTGCAAAGCATATAGGGGAAATGACTTTTATTAAAAGGCTTTTGTTTATTAGTTGGAAAAGATATTACTTCAGTCCTGTTTTTCTTTCCCATTGAAGTTATAACTGGTCCAGCCCTCTTTCAATCCCCAACAAGAACTCCACAAGTGAAGACTAAACGTTGTAAAAATCTAAAAACTGGGCAAAGTGTGTGTGTGTGTGTGTGTGTCTTCCTTGTATTTCTCCATAATTGGGGAAATCCCTGAAATCTCTTGGAAAGAATGAACATCAGATTTAACACTTGTTATTATAGCTCAGTAAACATAGCAATAAGACAGTGTACTGTGAAGCACACTTTAAATATTTGTTATAATTTATGAGGTAAAAGTATTTCTCTCAAGGAAAATTATTGGCTTATATAAATGTATTAAATAGTGATTTATATACCATAATCAAAATTGTTTTTAAAGCAGCAAAAAATAAAATCATGGATCAAGATTTATTTTTTTAGGGAAAAAAACAATTTATCTGCCCCCTCCCCCCAAAAAAGATTATAATCTTCAGATTGCAATGAGATGGAACAGCATCAACTGACAATTCACTAGGTATATGAATGTTTCCCAAAATTAGACCAATTTTACAGCCTAAAAAATAAGCACCCTATTGAATGTGTGTGTGTAAATATTACCAAATTTAAACATTTCCAGATGGGCAGATTTTGCAATTTAAACCAGACATTCATTAGTGTCTGTCAGCATTAAAGCCCTTAATATGCAAGGTTTTTATTTTGTTTTGAACACAGAATTTCTGCTTATAAGGAGTGAAGCCAATGGGTTTTCTCTGAAGATTAATCCCTAGGGAGGTTTGCTGACTTAACAGGAACAATTCAGTTTTGCAACCACATGTCCAGGATATCTCTCTCTCTCTCTCTCTCTCTCTCTCTCTGTGTGTGTGTGTTCCAGCATAACTCTGGAATGCCTTGATCAATTTCAACCAAACATGATACACCTTTGGGGTGTGTGTTCTGTTAAGATACAGCCTGTTGTGCCTTAAAATGACTTCTACCGTACTACCCTAAAATGGCTTCTACTGTATAACACAGTGGCATTGGCATGGCAACAGCTTCACAGTACTCCACAAGGGGACTCCCTCCGTAAGGGGGAAAATCCAACATTAGAAATTACGTTTGGTCAAGACATTTTCAACAAGGCTTTGATTATTTTTGAAGACAAATGTATGGCTTCTGGGGGCATAGGAAAAATATTTGTAATTAATTGTTGTCAAAATAAGGGCTTTTCCTGTCTTATACAGGATTAGGATAAATAAATACCTGGGCAATGCCGGGTTATCAGCTAGTCTGAAATATGCTACTCACCATTCATAAAGCCCTCCATGGTAGTGGATCTGACTATTTGAGAGACCGCCTTCTGCCAATTACCTCCCTTCGTCCCATCAGATCGCATAGAGTAGGCCTCCTCCGAATTCCATCCGCCAGTCAGTGCCGACTGGCGACTACGCGGAGGAGAGCCTTCTCAGTTGCAGCTCCAACGCTTTGGAACGATCTCCCCATGGAGATTCGCACCCTCACCACCGTCCAGACCTTCCGCACAGCCCTCAAGATCTGGCTATCCCGTCAGGCCTGGGGATAAGACCCTAACCTCGCCCCACCCGAATGCTGAATGAATGTTGTGTTTTACTGGTTTATTTTTTTTATTCACACATATTTTTTTTCTTGTGTTTTGTCTTGCACCCCCTTCCTATTAATTGTAAGCCGCCCTGAGTCCCCTCAGGGAAAAGGGCGGCCTATAAATGTAAAATAAATGACTAAAAAAAATGACTAAAATATATAGTAAGTCCTTCTAAACATGTTTATCAAAACTCAAAAATAGCTCGATTTGTGAATTCTTTAGGGAGGTTCTAATCTAAAAATTTGGAGAAAATTATTCCTCCTTAGTTTCTCTTTCATTTCTACAACATAAATGCCTCTTTCATTCCTTAGTCAGAAAGAATCACGAGACACCAATAAACAC